TCCCTGGCCGGCCGGTTCCAGCCGCCGATGGGAAGAGCTTCCAGCAGGAGCCCAAACTGGTCCTCAGAGACATGGAGAAGGGGGACCTGGGGACAGTGTTCATGTGCCGCGTGGAGCACATCGCCTTGCAGACCGCCATCGAGCGACGCAGCGGGGAGCTGCAGGTCACAGGTCAGCCAGCGCCTTTACACCAGGATGTCACGGGGTCCCGGTCCTTTCCCACTCGCTCTGGGCCATCTGGGCAGGAGGCCGCGTGCTGGGTGGTGGCAGTTTTGCCGCACGCCACAGACCTGCAGGCTGGAGCAGGGAGTTCCCAGCAGGAGACCGGATCCCACTCCCCCCCAGGGAAGGGTGAGGGTGGTGGGGGGAGGCCAGCACCTGTGCTAACACTGCTGCTCCTGGCTGCCGCGGCTGGGCCCCGGCCCTGGGGCCAGAATGACCCTTGGTCTCAGCCGGGCAAGGAGAATGTAAGGGCCCAGGAACTGAGCACCTCGCTCGGCGTTTCGCTCCAGCTGCCGGGGGAAGGGGGTGTGGGGAGGGCCAGGGGGGTCCTGCGCAGGGTCTGGGTCCCCAGGGCAGTGAGCGCTGACCAGCCCCATGGACACCTTTTGCTCCAGGACACCAGGATGCCCCCACGTCCCTGGATCCTGAGTCCAAAGAAGGGAATGCAGATGAGGGAGCCCCAGGGGACGTGAGCGGTTCGCATGACGGGACAAAGGGAGGCCCGTCCGTGCTAGAGCAGGGGTCCGGGGGCCCAAGCAGTGAGGAGGACGGGGGCGGACCTGGTGCCCCCCAGGACCTTGACAACAAGAAGGATCTGGCCCACATCTCTGAGCCAGAGGGAACAGCAAAGGACCAGAGTGGCGGGGATAATGGAGCAGCAGGAACATCGATGCGAGGCAGCGCAGCCCCAGAAGCGAGCAGTGACAGAGGAGCTGGTGGAGTCAGTGACATGGAAACCCCCAGCCGGGAGACCCAGGGCCTGGGCCAGGCTGCTGCAGGGGATGATGCGGTGCCTGGGGGGCAGAGACGCAGCGGGCAGTGAGGAGGTGCCAGCAGAGCCCTTGGCTCAGCCCGGTGCAGGGAGCCCGGAGATACCAGGAGGGGGAAAGATGTAATTTCGAGATGGCGAGAAGGTGAAAAACACAGCACATGTTTGAGGCACCCACAACTTCATGTGACACTTGAAAAAGGTGTTCCAGGTTTGTCAGTCATGAATAAAACCAAGCTCAGGACAGCCGACTGCTGCCTCCTTTCCTGGGGGTCCCTGGTCTCCCGCAGGAGGCTGCAAGGCTCTCGGGGCCCGTCGCAGCTGGCAGAGTCCCCCGCTCTCTGCCTCTCAGGGTGCCCTTTGCTGAGGCTG